CCCGCGGGGCACTGGGAGCCCTTCCCCGCGGCACCGAGCACCCGGCGGCTGCAGCACAGATGGAAAGCTGTCCAGGAACGGGGGTCCCAGGCTGCCACCGGAGTGCCTTGATCTCCCCCCCTCACCCCCAGCACGGCCATACATCAAGCCAAAGCCCCAGCAGCAGGGCAGAGAACCGGGAATCCCTAGGGAATGGCGGGGGGGGGGGACACAACAGCCATCAGCTGCTGCTCCTGGCTGGGACGTGCTGTGAATTTTGAGCTTTATGAACAAGAGGCTTTGAGGTAGAAAACGCCAAGTCTGCAAATCCAAGGCACAACTGGGCTCCTGAGCTGTGGGATGGGGATGTGCTGTTGGGGCCGGGGCAGGTTGGGCTGAACCCTGAACCCTGCACAAAGGCAGACGCCAGGGCTCAGCCCAACCTGCCCCAGCCCCATCCCCATGGATCCAGGCTGCTGCAGAAGAGGGAGGAGGGTTTATTCCGGGCAGCGCAGTCTGGCTCAGCATGACACTGCCACCGTTACACAGCAGAAACAGAGAAAAAAAGCAGAGATGAGCTAAGGGGTTTTGAGCACAGCTGACCTCATTCCTGGCTCTCCCTCACTCCACAGAAGAAACAAGGGATGTGGGGAAACAAAAGTGGGGGGTGGGATATCCTTTCTGCTCCCAGCAGGATCAAACAGCTGCGGCAGGAGGATGAGCCGCTTCTTGGGTGATGCAGGGAGGGCTGCAGCTTTTCCTCTGCATCCCTAGGGACACGAGCAGGGACAGAGGAAGGTCCAGCAGCATCAGGGCTTTGTTGAGCGCAGGTTTGAAGCTGGGGGAGGCGCAAAGGGCAAAAAAAGCCTCTGGCCATTAACCACAAGACCCAGGAGAGGAGCAAATGTGCTTGGAAGAGGCCAGAAGGGGACTAAGCTGTCTCAGGACTGAGGGACAGCTGCTGGAGATTAGCTCTGCCCTCACCCCCCTGCTGAGAGATGTGAAAGGTGCCTGTGGTGCCAGCCCCCTGCCCCGAGGGAGCCCATCCCCGAAGCCAGAACAGCAGCAGGGGTTTGTGAGACTTTATTGGAGTGCAAGACGAGTCCGGGGGCGGTTACAGAGGGCTGGGGGGACACACAAACACTCTCAGTCCCAGTCCCCCTCACCATCAGGATTGTCATCTCGGGGGGGTTCCTGGAACTGGATGTTGGCCAGCATGTCCCGCATGGCTGCCATGAGCCTGTTCACCCCCTGGTTAAGGTCCTGTCCTGCTCCAGCCTCTTCATCCCTGTCGTGCCTGATGTCCCCCTGCAAGAGAGCAGAGCTGGAGCTGCCTGTCCCTCTGCAGCAGGCAGGGAGCGAGACAAAGCCACTTGCCAAAAGGCATCAGGCTGCTCTGCAACCTGACGTTGACATGGGGGTGTGCCAAGAGCCCCTCCCTTTGCGGGAACGCTGCGTGGGGAAACTTCAGGGACTGGCAGCAGGAGAGGGCCCTGCTCAGCCCACAGCACCCACCTGCAGGTTAAAGTTTGGCAAGAGCGAGCGGAAGAAGAGGGATAAAGTGCTTTCGTTGGGTGGCTGCTGTGTCCTGCAAGACAAAAGTCACAGGGGGTTAAGGGGGCAGCTCAGTGCTGCGGAGGGAGCTGCGTTACCCAGAGCAACACCCGGCCAGCCCGGAGATTTCCTACCCCAGTAGCCAGTCACTGGCCAGCCTGGCCACAAAGCCCCAGCAGACTGGTCTGAGGGGTTCAGCGCACAAGACACGCAGGGGTTCACTGCAGGGTCCATGCACACCACAGCCATCTGCACCTCAACCCAAATTTAACCCCAAACCACCTCAGTGAGGGAATTTCCCAGGGCTTTGCCTTCATGGCTGCAAGCAGCCACCATCTCCGAGGTGACCACCACGGGAAAGCAGCAGGACCAGCCCTGCCTGTCAGGAAGCACTACCAGCCAGGTGGCTCTTCCTCCCAGCTGGAGGAGGATGTCAGCTCCAAGCGCCCGCCCTGGGGCAGAGGGAACACACCGGTTGTGCTGGCACAGAAATGAGGGGTGGAGAAGGTACCTCTCTGGTCTGGTGTAGGAAACGATGGAGTCCAAGGGAGGTAAGGGGTCAAACCCCATGACAGGCTGCGAGGTCACCTCCTGTAAGGGGGAAAAAAGAATGAAGGGCTGAAGGCTGCAGCACTGGCAGCAGCCAAGGCCCAGGCAGTGAGGTGGTGGAACAGCCCTTGGTCTGGGGGAGCACACAGAGCCTGACACCAGCTGCAGCCCCCTTGGGGCCCCTCACCAGAGGCAGTGCTGCCGTGGCCTCTTTCATCTCCGAGAGGATGACGTGCCGGTAGATGTTCCTGGGTGCACTCTGGTACCGCGTCTTTCTCCTAGAGCAGGGAGGGGGACAGAGGGTTGCACCACACACACCCAGCACTGCAGCTTTGCACTTCTGCTTCTCCTGGTGCACCACCAGCTCCATCCCTGGCTCTGGGGGACACACCGTGTTGAGCAGAGCTGGCCTACAATGAAGCCAAAGTCACTTGGCAGCTGCTGGCCTAAGGCAAAGAACAGCAGAGATCTCTCTCTCTCTCTCTCTCTCTCTCCTCTGTTCCTCTGCAGGTCAGCAGAGCAAACTGCCTTTGGCTTAGGACAAGACCTGACACCTCTCCCTCCAGCTTCTCAGAGCTGGAAGGTGTTCAGGACACCACCCTGCCCTGTGCAAGGGATCTCTGAAGTTTCCAGGGCACAGGCCACAGCCGATGCTGACGGAAGCCAGCACAGCACGAGCTCCTCAGCTTGTGCCACCTTGGGAGGAAGAGCTTCTGCCTTCCTGGCCCCACAGCACAACCCTCAGCAGCAGCAGCCACCAGCAGCTGGGCAGCTGTGGGGCTCTGAGCAAGCCATGGGGCCACTGCAGTCCAGGACTGAGCTTGTCTGCAGAGCCTCCCGCCCGCTCTGTCCCCACGCTCCACAGCCTCTCTCTGCAGCCACACTCACTTGTACTCGGCCTCCTCCACCAGCGGGTCCTGGGCGTCCACCATGCGCAAGACCTCGTGGACGTTGGTCTCCAGCCACGCCATGACAGCTGGGTCCTTCCACAGGGAGTGAGTCCTCCCCACGTAGAGGGATGTCAGCTGGTTCAAGGCAGGGGACTGGCTACAGGAAACACTAGTTACTTAGGCACTCTCCTCCTCCCACCTGCAGGTCTCTGCGCTCTCCTTCGGCATGAGAACACCAGGAGAGGAGTTGCCGGCTCCCTGCTCTGCTACTTCCATCTACCTTCACCAGTTTTTCTGCCTCCATTTATTTTTGGGATAAGCATAACCACAAGATGAAAGCAAACACTGCCTTGACCCGAGGGGGAGACCATTGGCATGCTGAGGAGGGGACCACGTGGCAGGGAAATCCAGACTGGCAGGAGACAGCCAGCCCGGGGAGCACACACGCCTCCTTCCCTCTGCCTACATGTACCAACAAGCTTCGCTCTGAACTTCTGACCCATCTCCATTAAGGTGAGGCAGCTCTATTTAGCATTAGCTGGTGGCCATGGTGGGAATCCATTACCAAAGCACCTAACAGCCTGCTCAGGAAAACCAGATATTGCTCTCCACAGCTTTTTGACTCCATTAGCTGCCTGAGCAAGCAAAAGCCCCCCACTGGCACAATTGATTCCTCCTGAGAACATCTCCAGGGCTTACCTTATCTGAGCATTCAGCCCAAAAAAGGGATGGAACATGACCCTGGCATCAGGCTGCACACTGCAGTGATCCAACAATGGCATCAGAACTGCAGGAGAAAGATGACAGCTCAGTTACCACAGCCCAGTGAGGAGCATGGTGGCATGGCCAGCCACCACGGCCAGGCTGGCAGAGAGACAGCCTCATTGTGGGGGGCCAGCACCCCAGCTGGCTGGGCTACTGAGCCAGGAGCCATGGAAGGAGGGTGTGAGGACACTGCTGTGTTTTGATCTCTGTGAAGATGTGGGAAACAGATCCAGAGTAAATGAAAAAGAACAACATGACTTTTTTTTAAGCCCCCAGCGAAATAAGGTGCAATTTTCCGCACTTCACGCTGCCGGCCTTTGAACTCAAACAAGGGTTTGTTTCAGTCACCATGACAAGCAGCAAAAAAAGGTGGTTTCAGCCAACACAAACCAAAGCTCTGTTTGAGAGCTGGTTATTCCTGTCCATAAAGACGCACCCTCCTCCAGGCCCAGAGGAGTTGTGCATCTCCTTCCATGGCCAGCAGCGCCCACAGCATGAAAGCCAGAGTGATGGGCACCCACGGCAGGCACGCGGGAAGTGGAGCAGTGCCTTGGAGGGAAAGCCATGAAACTCACTGTCTCTGCTGTGGGCAACCCTGGGGTGAAAGGTTTTCCTGCTCCAAGACTCCAGTTCTCACCCTCTCCCTTCTTGCACACCCATGACCATGTCTAAGGAAGGGGCACCGGCTGCTCCGGGGAGGGAGAACCCTGGCTCCTCTCTTCCCAACATGTGGAGCGCTGATGGCCACGGGGCACTGCCTGGCTCTGCTGTTCCCCCTCCGGCCCTACCAAGGTGCAGGGTGGGCAGGATGAATCCCACCCCCCCACCAGAGGTGCCTGGGCATGGCAGGTCCTGCCCACACCACCCCACCCCACAAGGCAGGGCTCCCATCTCCCACAGAACCAGGCCAATGCCATGTGCAACCCACAGGTAAACCACTGCCTCTGCATTTTCCTGCCTGGAATCCAGCCCTGGCTCCCACAGATGAAGACAGTGACAAAGCCTGCGGGAACGGACCTACCAGTGGGGACGGACTTACCGCCTGGGAACATGATCAAGGCCAGCTGGATGAGCTGGGAGGCTCTCTCCTGGGCTTGGCTCAGCTCTGGCTCACTTTCTTCCTGCTGGCTCTGGAAGAAATAGGCCAGCGGCACCGAGAAGGCAAAATTGGGCAGCTGGGACAAATTCTGGTGATTCTGCAAGATCAGAGAAATGGATTTACCAGGAAGTGATGCTCTGCAGAACCATCTCGATGTGGCTGGGCTGATGCAGGGTGGGGTTTCTTCCTTGCTGGATTAAGTTACTTTCCAGGTGCTGGCTTGGTGCCCCCACAACTAAGCAGGCAATTCTGAGTTTGCACAATTATTTGCAGGGTACTGGGATGCCACGAACAAACACCTTAACCTTTATGGGTCATTCTGACAATTCTGGGATGGGACATGGCCATGAGACAGCCCTCAAGGGGCTCAGCTAGTTACAAACCCTCATGCTGTCCAGCCCAGCAGCTTCCTCTGGCCCAGCCCAGGCCCCAGGTCCCAGCCCCCCCCTCTCCCACCTGCTGCCAGCTCACCTCCCACTCCTGGAACATGCGGGTCAGGAATGTGTATTCTCTGGCTCGGAGGGACAGAAAGTCAATCAGCAGCAGCATGCACAGGGGGTCGTTCTCTGGATCAAGGCTTCAGAGGGAGGTGGGCACAAGGGGAGGAAACAACATCAGTGGCACAAAACAACAGTAGCTGTCCCCTTGCTTAGTCACCCCAGACTTCCCCACTAGCATCCAGAGAGCTTCTGTGACTTGGCAAGTGTGGATAACAGGAACAACATCATCCCTGCACAGCCAGTGATGATCTGCAACCCTGCAGAGGGGTGACAGCTCCCTGTCACCACCCGGGGAGAAGACCAACAGCCACAAACAGGGCAGGCAGAAGCCACTGTTGTACATCTGTTCCACAGAGACTCTGCTCTGAAAACCAGACAGGCCTACAGCTCAGCAGCCCAGGTCAGGGGCCACCCAGGTCCCATCTGTTTAAACCTCCTCCTCCACAATCACCTCTCTCCAGAGCAGCAACACAGGCAAGTGCCCGTGCCCACAGCTAACCTGTGACACTGCCTCTGTAAGGAGTGGACACAAGACCTGGATGAGCCTGGGAGCAGCAGTGCACCTTGATTTGGTTTTGGCTTGCTTTGTCCCACCCGGGTTAGGTTTGGTGTGTTGCTCAGAGCCCGAGAGGCCCTGCCCCATCCTGCAGGGAGCAGGACACGGCCCAGGGCAGAAGCACCTACCTTAGGATCAGCTTGCAGAACTCCAGGGCCGTCCGGGGACAGCCCCTCTTCTCCAGGAACATCAGGTGCTTGAAGAGAGCCAGGAAGAAAGCCCTGTGTGGGGAACAGCAGCAGGTATTGGAAGACAGATTTGGCGGGAAGCACCTTGTGCCCCTTAAGAAAGGGGACCCGTGGGCAGCGCCAGCTCCACACACCCTGAGCACCAGCACTGCTGTGCACCCAGGGGGTCTGGGGAGCCCAGCCCAGTGCTGCACAGGGTGCTACAGACCCCCCACGTTCCTGTAGCTTATTTTTTAAATCTCTTTGTGCAGGTGTAGGGACAGCAGACCCACGGCCTGCTCCATCCATGGCCTCACAGCCCTGGTGCTCTTGCTAACTGGCCAATGACTCAAGACAAGATAAACAGAGTCTGCATCCTGCCTCATCCCAGCAATGCAGGGACAGAGACACAGAGTGTGCTTGACTCATACTGGGGAGGACTAACACCTAAACTGGGCAAGATGACCTAAGGGCTGGAGCAGCTCTGCTAAAGAGGCAGGCTGGGAGAGCTGGGGTTGTTCAGCATGGAGAAGGCTCCAGGGAGACCTTAGGGCAGCTTCCAGTGCCTGAAGCGGCTCCAGGAAAGCTGGGGAGGGACTTTGGATAAGGGCAGGAAGGGATGGAATGAGGGGCAGTGATTTCAAGCTGGAAGAGGGAGATGGAGATGAGATCTTGGGAAGAAATTCTTCTCTGTGAGGGTGGTGACACCGTGACCCAGGTTGCCCAGGGAAGCTGTGCCTGCCCCATCCCTGGAAGTGTTCAAAGGGCAGGTTGGATGGGGCTTGAAGCAACCTGGTCTCGTGGGAGGTGTCCCAGCCCATGGGAGAAGGTTGGAGCTAGATGAGCTTTAATGTCCCTTCACACCCAAACCAGTCTGTGATTCTATGAGACACAGATGACAGCATTCAGGTCATAGCCAGCACAAAACCCATCAGCCAGTGGTACAGGAGAACTGAGCAACCTCCAGGTACAGCAGTTTGGGATGGATGACTGGAATTAGCCGATTGGAAAATTCCCAGAATAAAGTCACCTCTCCCCACAGCTGCAGAGCTGTCACTACATACAGAGTCGGGCTGGGAGCACACGAGTGACCACACTCAGCCCTGAACACACAGGGAATATTTTTGTGACAAAAGTTTGGGCTCTAAGGGGTACTAGCTGCACAAGAAGGATGTGACAGGGAGGAACAGTTAACACTCCAGAAGAAATCCCTCAGGAAAGAGGATGTTCTGCAAAGAAACCTCAGTGCAAGTGACCTGGCAGAGCATGAGATGCCAGTCCTGTGGCACCAGCCTTGGGATCCCACGGCTGCCTTGCCAAGGGCACTGCCAGGGTGGTGAGGGCAGAGCCTGCTCCAACAGGAAGGGACATTCAAGGTCCTCCTGACAGCACAGATGACAGAGCACATGTCACGAATCCAAAGCAGGCTGGGGCACAGCCCAACAGCTCCCAGCATGCTGCCTACCTGTTCTCCGGCCGCCGGTAGTCCAGCCGGCAGGTCCCGCTCGTCAGGCTGAAGACGGGGTGGAAGGAGCACTCCAGGCTGTACAGCGCCCGCTCTGCAGACAGCGAGGAGGGTGTCAGGGCACACCACTGCCCGGGCACACCACCCCTGGGCACACCACTGCCCGGGCACACCACCCCTGGGTATCCACAGAACAGCAGTGGATTTGACTCAGAAAACACCAATAACTGAGAGCTCTGGCACCCATGAAATAAGCTTGTTCACACTCCTGCACGGCACAAGGCTACCTCAAAGTCTGTGGAGGCTGCAATACCCAGGCAGGAGCCCTGCTCCCACCTGTGGGCACTAGATCATGTCCTGGTTGAGAACGTTAACCCTCCTGGAGGAGGTGTGGGACTGAGGCTGGTACAGATGCCTCTGCCACAACTACCTGCACATGGGAAGCTAAAGATCCCACCCTCACCTTGCATCTGGCCATGCTCTGCTCACCAAACAGCACATCCAGAGGGGCTGCCAGTCCCCAGGACACCTCCTGCCCCACACAGCCTGTAGTGCCCTGAGGAGCAGAGCCTGATGTGCTGACCTGCAAGATGCCAGTGGGAGGAAGGGAAGGGGGCTGGCTCCGAGGGCTGGGCAGGCTCCTGCAGGGTGGGGAGGGGTCCTGGAGTGTCCCCACTGCTGCATCTCATAGCTGCTAAATCAGACCCTCCTGTAAAGGACATCCTTGGAAGTGTTCAAGGACAAGTTGGATGGGGCTTGGAGCAGCCTGGTCTAGTGGAAAGTGTCCCTGCCCATGGGAGGGTGTTGGGACTGGATAATCTTTAATGTCCCTTCCAACCCAAACCAGTCTGTGATCCTAAGATATCCTCCATGTCCAGACAATCCTTCCACTCATTTTGAGGGTGGACGCTGATGTACTTTGCCCCAGAAAAGCACGTCCAGCTTGATTTAAAAGCCTCCAGCAAAGGCTGATGGCCTGCAGGGTCATGTAAGGCTGAGTGCTCCTGGCCCAGAGTCAGATACGGAGCCAAACCAACCCTTCAGGTTTGCTGCTTCTCTGTTGAAGCAAACCCTGTGCTGAACCCAAAGCCTTTCATTACTAACTCAGGCCAGGACATCTGCTCCTCACCTCAGCTCTTACCTACAAGATCTCGGGCCATCTCCTGGTCCTCCTGCATGCGGCACACGTCGCTGAGCTGCAGGAGGGAGTCCACGTGGTAGGGGTTCATCTGAAGCAGCAGCTACAGAACAGCAAGAGCCCAGTTACAGGCTGGCACAGATCATGGGTCATTTGTGCCCTCTGTCTATGAGGCAAACTCTAAAAGCACATGGGGAGGTGACTGCCATTACACCAGGCCTGAAAGGGGCTGTTCTTGCTCCCGGGCTCTAAAGTTGAAATCCTCTCCCAGCCCCTCAGAGAGCCAACCTTCAGCAAACAGCACCAGGCTAGATAAAGGCTGAACCTCTGGGTTAAGGAACCTAAGCACGGGTGAGGAAGAGGTCTACCTTGCCCTGTCTTCAAAAGCAGGTGCCTGGGAAAGAGGGCAGGCAGCCAGGCACACGTGGTGACTCCCACCACACTGAAGGCTACCAGTCTTTAGCTGTTCAGGGACTCCCGTGTATTAATGGTGCCTCGTTCACTTTGATTCAGGTGCCTTCCCAGCTCCCTAGCTCTGTCACACAGAAAGCCACCACTTCAGCACACAGCTGCAAATCTTCCCCGAAGCCCACCCTGCGAGCTCCATCCTCGTGTCAGGAGGGATGACAGGGAGATCTCTCCCCATCCCACAAAGGCTCTGAGCCCTCAGTGGCAGCTTCCCCCAGGCAACTCCTTCCCAGCCAACCCAGCTTTTCCAGCAGTGAGGCCATGCCAGGCCTTTGATCATCTTTGCTGTCCTCCTCGGAATCTCTCCCAGCTCCACCACATCCTTTTGAAGGTGAAGGCCCAGAACTGCACACTATATTCAAGATGAAGGCAGCAGGCAGAACTGCATTTGTTTTATTCTCTATCCCTTAACAATTCTGAGCATTTCCTCAGGCTTTCACTTCCTCTGGGTGCTGAGAGCACATTTTCATACACCTATTACAATTCTAGGATCCAGCTCCTGAGTGGTAATGGAAGAGAATATTTTTTCCAGGCTCCTGAACAGAAGTTTAACCACACCTCAGAAAAGGCTGCCCTCAATAATTACACTATAAATGGGCTACTTTCTCCAAGGACCTAAAACTCCACTTCAAGATGAAGCTACTTCGAATCTCCTCACAGTTTAGTTCTAGGATTTCTTTTTTCCCCTCCAGAACTGAAAAATGCAGCTTCGAAGGCTCCAGAAGTTGTCCATCTGCAGGGTGGTGCCAGCACGACCACCTACAGTACAAAGCCTTTCTGCTCCAGGCTGTCCCAACACAGACTTGGTGCCACTTGCCTGACGTTTTACCCTTTCCTTGCTTGCTCCTAAGTTCCCTCCTCATCCTTCTATTTGGAAGAGATGGAGCACCTCAGATCATTGTGATGGGGAAAAGTGCTCTTCACACACTGACAGCTCCACCAGCAAGACCCTCTGATCCACAGGCAAGAGGAGAAA